CCAGGCTCTGGGTTCGCCCTCCGAAATTGACCCGTGTGCGGCCCCCTTCCCACACCAACTTTATACTCACTTCGTTCGCCCAACCCAACTCCAGCCTAGCCTATCGGCTGGCTTTCGTGATAAAATTTGGAACCCTACCGTTCTTCCAGATGTATATATTTTTTCACCAGGACCCCACGTCAAAAGTCTGTGTGCAGGAAGCCTGAACTGAGAGTTTTTTTGACAATACCAAAGACGTGTTTGTTGCGTCTATGAAATTGGCAGCAAGTCTTGAACAACAACATACAATGACACGCGCAAATCCTCTGTAAAATAGGAACCCAACCCTCTAAGGGGGTTGACCTTCCTGATTTCATAGAGGATATGGACAGGGGAATGGCTGATGTAGTTCGATTGCACCTCGTTCACTGCAGCATAGCAAAGCAGCATGTCATGGAATCAAGTCAAGCCTCTCGGACATCTTGAAAAATGCAAAGTATACAGTATACCCGACCTATTCTGCAAGCCACTTATACCCAAACAGAATGATTGCCTCGCTTCATTTGTATTCCTCCTTGACTTGACACACTGATCCATACTTTCCAAGGAATCCTTCATCATCAAGTTCTAAGCAAAAGCTGACTGTCAGGTAATGATTTTTCCGAGATGTTTCAACAACTTGATGCACACTGCCAAAGCCCTGTCTAGCCAATACACCCACTTGTGTTCATTGGCCCTTCAGTGTGGAGGAGATCCGTGGCACGCAAGTGATCTGTGGCTGTGGAATCTAATCTGTGGTGCCTTGTTCATTTTGGCATGAATTTTAGAGCCTCATTGCGCGCAAGTGAGACAAATCTGTGGCACGCAAGTGATCCACCACCCTACTAGAACCAAAACTACAAGTCAGCAACGTGGTCTCCCTCCTCCTCTTGAAGGATTTCCTGGTCGATCAAGTAGCTCTGCAGTGTGCCTCCTTGCAAGCTCAATGCCAAGGCTTCAGTGAGTCATCAGCCCTGACAAAACAAGATGGAACCCACGAACCCGAATGAATGCAAACACGTAAATACTCGAAAAAACTCCCAAACAATTCTTAACACTCTTGTAGGAAACACTTTTGCGGGACACTCTTGTAGGACACATTCTTTTCGCAAGCCTTTGCGGACACTCTTGCGCACTCGTCTGGACCGCCTTGTATGACACTCACTCTCGCAGGACACTCTTGCGGAGCACTGTTGTAAGACACTCTTGTGGGACACTCTTGTAGGACACTCTTGTCGGGCATTCTTGTGGGACACTCTTGCGGGACACTCTTGTGGGACACTCTTGTTTGTCACTCTTGTGGGACTCTCTTGTAGGACACTCATGCGAAACAGTCTTGTAGGACAGTCTTGTGGGATTGTGGGACACTCTTATATTACACTCTTGTGGGACACTCTTGCGGAACACTCTTGTAGGACACTCTTGTGGAAAGTCTTGTAGGACACTCTTGTGGGACACTCTTGTAGGACACTCTTGTGGGGCACTCTTGTAAGACACTCTTGTCGGACATTCTTGTGGAACACTCTTGTGGGACGATCTTGTGGGTCACTCTTGTTTGTCACATTTGCGGGACACTCTTGTATGATACTCACTCTTGCGGGGCACTCTTGCGGAAACTCTTGTAGGACACTTTGCGAGACAGTCTTGTAGGCCACTTTTGTGGGACACGCTTGTGGGACACTCTCGTAGGACACTCTTGTGGGACACTCTTGTAGGACACTCTTGTCGGACATTCTTGTGGGCACTATTGTAGGACACTTTGGGAAACAGTTTGTCATTCTTGTGAGACACTCTTGTGTGCCACTTTGCGAAACAGTCTTGTAGGCCACTCTTGTGGGGCACTCTTGTAGGACACTCTTGTCGGACACTCTTTGTGGGGCACTCTTGTAGGACACTCTTGTCGGACATTCTTGTGGGACTCTTGTAGGACACTTTGCGACGCAGTTTTGTAGGACACTCTTGTGGGACACTCTTGTAGGACACTCTTGCTGCGCACTCTTGTAGGACACTCTTGTTCACTCTTGTGGAACACTCTTGTAGGATACTTTTGCGAAACAGTCTTGTAGGACTGCTGTAGGGCATTTTTTGTGGGGCACTCTTGTAGGACACTCTTGTGGGGCACCCTGGCGTGACACTCTTGTGGGACACTCTTGTTTGTCATTCTTGTGGGACACTCTTGTATGACACTCACTCTTGCGGGGCGCTCAGGACACTCTTGCGGGACACTCTTGTGGGACACTCTTGCAGCGCTCTCTTGTGGGACACTCCGGTGGGACACTCGTGTAGGACACTCTTGTCGGACATTCTTGTGGAACACTCTTGCGCGACACCCTTGTGGGACAATCTTGTTTGTCACTCTTGTGGGACACTCTTGTAGGACACTCTTGCGAAAGAGTCTGTAGGACGCTCTTGTGGGACATTTTTTGTATGTAATTATTGTGGGACACTGCTCTGGTCAGACACTCTTGTGGGACACTCTTGCGGCGCACTCTTGTAGGAAACTCTTCGTGGGACACTCTTGTAGGACTCTGTAGGACAGCGACTACAGTCTCCAAAAATCAAAGTCACATCTCCAAAACGAGCGTTTTGCACGAGACTGCCTCCAACAGTCACACGACAAGACTGCAAAACGAGCATTTCGCACGAGACTTCTTCCACAATTCACGCTTCGAGTCTGCAAAACAAGCGTTTCGTACGAGACTTCCTCCAAAAGTCAAAGTCTCCAAAACGAGCATTTCGTACGAGACTTCCTCCAAAGTCAAACTCGTTTGCAGCCCCTCCAAACAACGCCCGCTCACACGCCAATCCCAATGTCACAGCGACATTCACCTCCACCACAACTCGCAACCTCACCATTCCCTGCGCCAGTCACGAAAATTTACGTGTCCACACGCGCACAAAGTGCTGCGCCTGCCACGAAATGTGACCTCCGCCACACCTCGCAACCTCACGATTCCCTGCACCTGCCACGAAAATCGCACTTCCACAACTGTCCCGCACAAAGTACTGCGCCTGCCACGAAAAGTGACAAGATCATATCATGTTAGCTTCAACACAATTTGCACCACACCACACGTTTGGAATGATTTTGGCCCGTTCTGAGCACGTTGCAGCTGTCCGCAGTAGAGCGCTAAGGCGCTGCCATTGGGGGAAGCTTTTGGAGAGGGTTTTGGATGGAAGCGTGATGGGTCAGATTCGTGTGAAGTAGCGAGGAAACGTGTGGAAACGCAAGATGTTGGTTGAAGTGTGGAGGATGACTTCACTGCACAGGCGCAGCGTTTTGTGAGATCGGCAGTTTTCTGCGCAGTCACATTGGGATTGGCGTTTGGAGAGTGGTGTGTTTGGGGTGTTGGATGTGGCTGTGACATCGGGATTTGCGTTCAATGCGTTTCAGGGTGTTGTATCGAAGCTGTGTTTTCGTGACAAGTCTCGGTTGCGAACGGTTGCAAACGGTTGACAACGGTTGCGGACGCTCAGACAACGAGTCGCGAACAAGGCTCTACCCCCAGACCCCTAGAGTTAAACGAGAACCCTTCGCTACGCATTCGGGAAAAAACAAGCAGAACATATTAAACTAAAATTGATTAAATATGCAAGAGTTGAAGTCTAGTCTCCAAGGTTTCTACTCAGATCTGGTCAAGTGGTATACAGTACTATGAAGAATCAAGGAACGACAAACCTGATTCATGGACTTGATATGCATTGAAATGACTCAATTGTCATAGTTAAGATGTTTCGACTTTATCAAAGAGTTTCATGCCCAGAACCTTGCAACAGCTCGGTGACGATGGTGATGGATGAAGGGCCCTCAAATGCGTCCAAAAGCTCGACGATGTGAGGATTTCTCACCAGTAAAAGTAGCTCCACCTCTCGGGAGAAGTGCTTGACCATTTTCTCCGATGTTTTTGTAAAGTTGCCAGCTCTCAAGGTCTTCATCGCCACCTGTGAGCACTTCAGGATACGGGATACCCCATGATACCCTAACATCTAGATTGCTTGGAATCATGAACAACAAAACCAACCATGTAGGATCCAGTTGGACAAAACACAAGAGCTCACAGCTCACTTGACCAATTACAGGTTCAGGTGCCCAAACCGTGTGTGAGGCAGATTTCATCAGCGCCTGTGTCCCGTGTTCATCGATGCCCCGGAGAATTGCCCCCGAAACTCCAGCACCCAAGATTTCTCCAGTGCTCCGGTACTTCATTATCACATTCTGCGACCCAAGTCGATGGAATCTCTTTGAGGGACTCGTATTGCCTCGCATTGCAGGCATGGCTGACCGTGTCTCTTCTGAGAAAACACGTTCTTTTCCGGCGTGCAACATCGCTCGACACCTGATCATAAGGCAAGAATCAGAAGGCAAGCTAGCCACTTCACTTAGACGTCCATTCAAATTGTTCAGCATAACCCGTTGGCCAAGCTTCTCCGTTCTATATGGTCTCCAATGAGTCTGAAAAGCGCATTGTGTGAAATGCAGCCCAGCTGGCAGCCCATACCATCGGAGCTCACAATTTGCGACTCTGGACAGGCACAAAAGAGCATATACGTGAGTGTTCAATGAAAAAAACAAAAATCTGCATGCATCTGGATTGTCTGTCAACTAGAGCTGGTTCTAAACAATATCAAATGCGTGGCATCTTTTGCAATGCCCTTGCTTGTGCACATGGCATGTCAACAACGCTCTTCAATCCCAGTTGAATAGGTCTGGTCGAACTTATGAAACCCAGCGAGTGCAAGTTCAGGGGAGATTGTGTCATCAACTGGATTCATCAAATCCCATGAATCCCATGGCAAACACTTGGACTTGACTTGAATATTAAGGCGATGTTAAGAAGCATTCTTGCAAAAGTTGTATGCAATCTTGTTTCTGGTAGTAGCGACACCAAGACCTAACGCACACATAGTATATAAGTATAGTTTTCTTGTGGATGACCAGGCCAGGCTAGCTGTACTACCATGGCTTTTCTGACTCCAAGTGCAAAGCCATGCAAAGCCATGTGCCCACTTATGCCTGCCCATGCCCGTGGTCGGTTTGCCTGAAAGCTGTTCAAAGCCCGGCTCCAAGCCGGGCAGGTCGCATTCTCGAAACCTCTTGCTGTGACCTCAGCTGGCTCTGAATGGATTGACATACAAGCAATATACGTATAGATCGTATAGATAGATATATATATATATATATGCCTATTCAAGACCAAGCCGGGAAATAGCCAGTAGCCTATGGGCTTTGCATCAATCTTCACACGGTGTAGCTTGATCTCCAGAATCGGGTGCTGCGAAACAACTTGGTCAGACCCCACACCTCTCTCTCTCTATATATATATGTACACTATCATGCACTATCCATGCATAGACTATCCAGCTCCAAAACCAAGCCTCCCCAAGTGCATTCCTTAGCCTCTGCTTTTGGTTTGAGAAACCACCCTCTTGCAATGAAGCGTGTCCGAATTGATTTTCGATTGGCTGGACACCTCTCTCTCCTTCTATAAACCCTGAAGGCCCTGAAGTATATCTTTACTATCGGTTTAATAAGAACAACCATCGAGAACGAACAATGCAAGGAAAAGAGACAAAGCAAAAACAAAGGTATGTGCTCGGAATCACTCAAGCATGTCTTTGACATCTTACCCCAAAATCTACATGCAGCATGAAACATCGCTAAAAAAGGTAATACAACAAACATTCAGGTTTCGGTTTAGGTGCTGGCAATGAAGGAAAAGGGCCAAGTGCAGTGGGTTTGACAGGTGACGGCATCCTATCGGGTCCAGGACGTAGCAATATTTGGTACGGACCAGCAAGCACGGGGTAACTGAGTGGGCCATGTGACGGCTCCTTCGGCCACTTTTGGAGGTGATTGTTGAGACAAACCAACTTTGACACAGCGGAGTTCAGGGGGTGACTTGCCTCCCAGGCGGAAGTTCAGGCAAAGGAGCTGATGCACAAGACCATCTCCCCTGACCTTCCTGTGCGTGCACGGCTCTATCATTTAGCAACAGTCAACAATTTTGAGGCATATGGCTTGTGGAATCCATAGATTTGTGTAGAATACTGTACTCTTGCTAAACCTCACACTTGGGCATGCTTGTCCGTGACTGACGCATCATGGCATCTCAACGCACATCAATACCCTTCAAGACTCAAACAATTGAGGCATGACGGCCTGCACGGAAGCGGCCAACACAGTTGCCACTGACCCACATGCCTGGTACAGCTGCAGTTTGGAAGTCTTGTGGTTTGCCCAACTTAGTTCGACCTTCGTGACCTTTACTCACTTTTCACACTGCTGATAAGTTAAGCGAACATGTTCAAACATTACATTGTATTAAACGCAAAAAATATGTCGTTGTTGGCATCGTGTGGCTTTTGAACACGAACTACAATTTGTGATGTTGCAGAGTTTTACACAAACATATTGCTGACTTAGCAGGCTGACTTATCAGTTTTACAGTGCAGTGGTTCCAGCATTATGCTACTTGTATGTCATGTGTGGTCAATGTTGTACATTGGCTCATGAAGCCGCGGTTGTATGGAAGAGCTTGGGTCCTGGTTGCATAATTGTTTTTTTTGCTTGTTTGACCTATACTCAAGCTCCTTGGATGTTGTTCCAACAGGGTCCTGTTGATATCTGCTAGTTTCTACTGTATAGTGCCTGCGCATCCACATCCAAAATCACAGGCGTGCAATGCGTGACAGCGTAGGATCAAGGACGTTATTGCCTGTCTACTCTACAGTATGAGTCTCATGTGGTGTCGGATTGTGCTTTGTCCGTTTCCAGTGTTTGTGTCCTGTCTCACTGGTCACACCCTGCTGTTGGATAGCTGGATCTTCACATTGTGTGACTATCTAAACACACAAGTGACAGTGTATTTGTACAAGGCGGTATTCCATTGCACCTGCAGAAGGATCTCAACAAAGAGAGACCACCATCTGTTCGCCGACTACGTGAACTGATGCATTCAAATCCTACTACGCTCATCAAATCATGGATTTGACGGATTTTGTTTACTCGTGATTCGTCGGAGTTCCCCGACCCAAACAAGAGCCAGAAGGACCTTTGTGCAGGCACAAAAAATGGGCAAGTAGGGACATCGCATTTGACACATGTTGGATCCTCAACACATTGTTTGCCGCTAAATATGTGACTTTCTTGTGCCTCACAACAACAGTGTCCCACGTGGACATGTCCGTGAAAACTAAGCCCGGATTGCAACCAACTGTCCGAAAACTCTGTTGTCAGGTGCAGCTGCCAGCTGCAACAAAGTTTTGACAAGCCCAGCCCAAGGAACAATATGTTCGAAATCATCAACATCTGTGCCATCTTCCCCTGCCATTGATTATGTGGACCCTCAATTGGGTTAGAGAGGGCCCACAACATCAGCGTTCAGTATACTTGGTCTAATGACTGACCACCAACCTGTTACTCAAGAGACATAATATACAACTATTAATGATTTATTAATATACCAAATATATAATAGATATACTAACTATATTTATCCCGGTGTGTATTTTCATGGTGAGGTCATGTCACCTCACTTTGTAGATATGAAACGCTTATTCTCTACAGAATGCTTCTACGTGGGGCTCAGGGTCTCTACAAAATGCCGGGCGTGCAAACCCCATGTCCCAAACAAAAAGTCAAGCATGTTACTACAAAATGGGGTCCAAACCTCAGCACAAGTCATGCTTGACAATGAAAGCTGGTCTCTACAAAATGGGGTCCTCACCTCTTGTTTTCAACGCGCTCGCATGACTCAAGCGATTCAACTTTGCAAGACATCTGCAGAGGTTTGCTTCAATACCACTTCTAAGTAGTCAAAACTAGTCAACAAATGCACGCCTCGAGAGATGGGTGGCTTCAAGAGAATGTCTGTTAATTTTGAAAATTACTACAAAAAGGTCGTGCGCCATACCAAATATTGTATACACTATACACTTGTCATAAACCAGGAAATCTTACAACAGCGTTGGTGACGCCGCCATTTTTGATGCTTTCTATCTATCTGGTGTTCTTTTTCTGAAACAATAATTTTGCTACTAATCAAAAACACAGTTTTCCTCTACACAATTGGGTCCATACCTCAGCGAAGTTTGTCAAAACCAGTGGATGTTACTACAGAATGGGGTGAATACCTCTGCTTGCGCTCAGATGTCCTGTCTTACAAAATGCCTTCCAGACCTCCAGGTCACTCATTTCCACTACAAACTGGGTCTCTACAAAATGCTCGGACATGCTCAAAAACAGATTTTATATGACTTTATAATATACATGTTCTTTTTTATGGGGGCCTTAAGGCCCTGCATTTCATAGTTATTAGTTGTAAATGGTAACGAGGATCTATATTTCTTTTGATCCTACATATTGCAGTACAGCAACTTGCACGTTCTGATTCAAAGAGAAAGTTGGAATGACATGGAAAAGCAACACATAACAAAGTAAAAACATGTGTAGAACTGCACTCCAAACTTCAGCAGCCCTGGCATTGCATTTTGCAACTCCCGATTCCGTTCCCCAATGGAATTGTGCAACAGGCTCTCATCCTCTGCCAGCCTTCTGCAACCCAAACAATTGGTGTCTCTTTTTACGACTCCAGTTTTGCCCCTGACTGCTCTCTGACTTACACGCTCCCGTCATGCGCACGGCCCACAGCATCGCAGGATTCCAAACGCATCGCCAACGCTAGCCAAGGTAAAGATGTATCAAAATTCGGCGAGCATGTGCGAAACTACAGATCTCTATACAGGAAAGTAGCCCAAAATATGGGAAGTAGTCACTTCTAGAAAAATGTATTAACAGTTATCTAAATTAATCTAAATTCAAGCTTTGGAGGTAAGTATGATCATTATCGAAAAGTAGAAAGCTCCGGAGGAAAGTATGGAAAAGTCGTAGAATTTCCACCGCGAAGTGCTATGGTTCTACCGACAATTCATTGCTTCGTGTGTGGCGGCGAAGTGGCGCCTTTAAACCGGCTGTGACACGGCGCGTTTCTGGGCACTAACCTTCTGCAACAAACATGCGAACTTCGCAATGCGAACACAAGAAGCTTGAGCCATTATCATTGATGATTGGCAAGGCTTGGGACTTCGACCCTAAGCCGCCAAGGTCAATTTATTTTCTGCCTGTTCCGGACGTGGAGTAGTACACGGCCACACTTCTGCTATGCCACATTTCTCTTTACTGAGAGCAGGCTCACTGAGCGTGCCTATCCAGAATCACTGCTTGCACTTCACCACTTGGCAAATCATCACATTGCACTTCACCGCACTACACTTAACCAGATCACAACCACCACATCAAACAAAGAATTGAATAAACAAACAAACAAATGTGTTCCAATTTACCTTCGCGTTAAGTTTCGTACGAGCTTGCTTTAAACAAGTCTGCACTGAAGTCATTGATTGTCTTTCTTCACTGGGTTTGAACGAACAAGGCTCGGGTCTTTTTAGATAAGCCGGGAAACGACCATGTCCAAGCGGGCCATACTGCGATGCCTTCCCCTGCAGGGAAAAGACATGCGATGCCAATACGATGCCGCTACTATGTCCCGAGTTGCTCGGTGATTCGACCAGTCCAACTCCGTGTGTCAATAACAAGGATCAGAAAAACTGTGGCCTAGGCCATGTCTCCTAAAAGGTGGTTCAGGAAAGGATCTGTGTTGACATGTGCTAACAATGTGTTATCATTATGTGTTTGTCGTGTTTGTGCTATGCCTGTGATTTGTTTACCCCCATGTTTTTTCTCCAGACCTGGAGGCCGTGTTGCATTTCCACCCCTGCAGCAGCACATCGATCAAACCCCCACCTCAAGAACTCAACTCAGCAAGCTGTTCGCAAGAAACCCCGCAAAATGTTTGTCAAATATGTGCGAATACACCTAGTTTATATGTGTATATATAAAATATGAAAAGGAGCTCCTTGAACCGTGCAATAGTACAAGAGTTTTTGGCAAGTGGCTCATCGATGAGTTCCAAAGCCACCAGACCGCGCCTGGAAGAACACCAAAAGAGAAAGCGGAAAATGGATGAAGGGAGAATGCAAGGCAGGAGATGGCAGGGCGTGCGGGTTAGAGGACATTCCCATTCTTGGGGTTTTTGGCATGGGTAAATTCACATCATCCAAGGCACTCTGAAGCGCTTCTCGTTGCCTTTCTGAGGACCAATAAATCATCCCGCTCAGGTGCATGTGCAAGGCCAGAGAAAAGTCTTAAGTACGAGGTCCTTGGCATTTTGTCGCAAGACCCTACCTACTGTAAGACATTGGTCGCCTCCAAGACTTGTAGCTTTGCGATGTTTGTCTTGATCTAACCAAATTGTGAGCCGCTGATGCTGATGAAACTCCCACTACTAGTGCAATTGGGCTGCACGAGTTCATCGAGTATAAATCCGTGCAGGCTGAAAATCTGACGAACCTGGTTCCGCTTGAGAACGCTGCAGTCCGAACCCCCCCATTCAAGTTGGTGGGTGGGTCGGTTACCTGGCATGTGGTGATTCAGCCTGTTGCTGAAACACGTGAGTTGCGCCCCCAAGCCATGGTCGAATGCGGGACAATTGTCAAGCACAAAAGATTGCGACTGTGAGTTTCCTGCGGCATGAAAAGGGTCATGTTCGGAATCTTGGCCAGTCGTGATTCCCAACTGTTCCACCACCTCTGCTTCTGAGCGAGGATTTTGCCCTTGGCGGCCCCAGCTGATGATGACCTCAAAGAAGTATCAGTTCTGAGTTGACATCAACACATTCACATGCAAGATTTTGACCGGCACCAGAAAAACAAGGCTTACGGTATACACAGTATACTCACACAAGAAAAGTTCCCAACGGCTGGGGTCCGCATGAGTCCGCCTATTGGGCAATGGTAACATTAACATGATAAGTTCACCAACAAATGTTGCGTCCTTGCCACACAATGCTGAATTCAAACGTATGAACCTTGTCAGCGTGCGATGTGAGCATACCGAGCACATGTGCCCACAGATGCGCAGGCATGACAACGACACAACAAACAAGAACCAGGGAACCTGCTCCGGAACCTGAAACTGGCAGTCAGAGTGACAGCATGACCCGACTTCCGACTTCAGCATCATCTCAGCATGGCAACATGTCAGCATGATAGCCTGACCAGCGTGACAACATGTGACTACAACATGTCAGCATGTCTACACGTCCGCGCGAGCGGCGAGAGCATTATGCGCAACACACAGTCGTTGCTCCGTGTCAGAGACACATAACATGTCTGAAAAGTGTTCTGAAATTTGTTCCGGACCTTCCGCCAGAACCTGCTTTGTAACCTCCTCCGCTTCGGCACTTGCCGGGGAAACAGCTCCAGAACTTGCTCTGTCGAACCTCCTAGAATGACCTGCTCCGATCTGCTCAATACTCTTTACATCTCTTTACTATAATATGGCTGAAGACCCAGCTTCCCTGTTGGTGAATGGTCAACAGCGGATTCGAAAACTAGGCACGGCGCGGATTTGGAAACTAGGATTCGGAAACTAGAACGGGTCTGAACCGGATAGATTCTGAATCGGGTCTGTGAAATACGAATATGTCAACCCTACATCAAAACAAATATCTCATTAGATTCCCCCCCCCCCCCCCCCCCCCCCCCCCCCCCCAGTTTCTGAATCGGATAGTTTCTGATCAGTTTCTGAATCGAGGGAGTTTCTGGGTCGGGACACCCTGTAGTTTCTGAATCGGCCAGTTTCTGAGTCGGGTGAGTTTCTGGATCGGCACACTCTGTAGTTTCAGAATCGCAAGTTTCTGAATCGTAGTTTCTGAATCGGATCTAGTTTTTGAATCGTCTTTTGTTCGTTGGTGAATATTAGAGAACAACATAAACAAAACAAATCCCAACAGTTGGGCATGATTTCGCCTAGTCCACTACTGTAACTATGTAACTAATGCTGTTTTTTGCCAGACAGTGCCGCATTGAAACATGTGGCCCTTTTCAATGTGCCATGCAAGCACCACCACATGGCAAAATCATGCAAAATCTGTGCCCACATATGTTGAACCATGCAAAAGCAGGACAGCGCTGCAGCTGGAACCTGCTCCCGAACTCGCTCTGGATCCTGCCAGTGTTAGGGACCTGTCAGCGCCGGCACAACATGTACACAGCATCATGAAAGTGTCATACACGCCATCGTGACACCAGGTCAGCATATCAACGTGACACCACCTCAGCATGTCAGCATGAAAACATGTTAGCGCGTCACAAATGTCGACGTGACAGAGGGCGCCCTGCAATTGTCAACCGACAACAGCATCATCAGCATCATGGATGGGGTGGGGTGGTGGGTGGGGTGGGCTGCGGGGTGGGATCTAATGGAGTGATTGGCCCATGGCCACATCACCGAATCTGACATCCGTGCACAGCCGACACACACAGTTCTCTATGATCTGTGGGTGGCCATTTCTCTGTGATCTAAGGCTTGCCATCGATTGCCATCGATGACAGGTCTGATAAGTTGGGAGTCGTGTGTCTGTGGGGGTGGGGTGGGGTGAGTTTAGTGCATCACCATGTCAGCATATCCGCAGAATTGCCGCGAAGATTGGGAATTTGCGCCAGACTCTGATTCGGAAGTTTCGGAAATTCCTCTTCATGAAGTTCATGAAGTGTATTCCAGCTCCTGCTATGGAACCTGCTCCGGAACTTGCTCCGGAACCTGCTCTGGCAAAATGCGCTCCAGAACCTGCTCTGCTCCGGAACCTCCCCCGGAACTTGCTCCGGAAACTGCTCGGGACCCGCTCGGGTCCAAAACTTCCGATCTCCTCCGAAGTCTTTTCTATAGCTGAAGACCCCTAATTGGTGGGACAAACAATTCGACCTGCAAGCCGTTGCAAGCTATAATCTGAAGCCAAATCTACCGGACGTTGTCCGTATTTGCTGGGGCCCAAGCACCTTGCTCTGCATTGTAGGCCAGATTCTCTACGAAAGCTTTCCTTCAAACACAGCGACGTCTTCACTGCCTATTGAAACTATCTCGTATTTCGGGACAAACCCACAATGGTCGGACAAAATGTCTTTCTTGATCGGTTTAGCATCATTCAACAGTTGTGAAGAGAGGCTCGCCACTACGAATGGTGCCCAAGGCACTCCCCCATTCTGGGGATTTCCACACCAACACCCAGCGACAGAATCCAGTCTGCGGTGCTAAATGACACCTCCATCTCAGAGTACCTTGATGTTGTGCAACAGTTTGACATGTGCATGCCAAAGCCGTGAATTGACTATACCATACACCTCTGCTATCCGACATCCTCTGCTCTTCTAGCATTACAAATGCAATTGATACAAATGGCAATACAAATGTGTCGCACAGCTTCTGGTGGACGAGCATGGACATGACATGACACGAGTGCGTCACCAATCCAGGAGACATCGTTGGAGATGCTCGGCTCGGGTCCAGTGAAGAACAGCCACAACAGGAAGTTGTAGGCCAAGCAAGACAGGTGATTGCAAGCGGCAGTGAAGCAGGCTGAGCAACATCATGTAAGCCCCCGCTGGTACTAGGAGAACACCGAATTCGGGCCTTGGGGGGGTTCTGCCCTCCTGCCTTCATGTAGCCTTACCCACGGCTTTGGAATTGCGGAGAACTTTGTTCGCATCGCAGTGAGCACGATTTGTTGAGTGGTGCTCGCATTCTGATTGATGTGGCACATTGTTGGTGGGAGTTCTGAGGCTTGTTCTCATTGGCTAGTGACAGGGCGCTTGTGATGGCTTGATCGTCACACTTCGGAGCTAGGTGGTGCGCCCCTTTGCTGGTGCTTTAGAGAGGTCGCCTCCTTGATGCTGGTCTGGTCTAGGCATAGTCTTCTGTAGCGCTTGCTTTGGCGGCGGGTACCTTTGATGGAGCTTTTTGGTCTGAGCTATTGCCAAGCGTCTTAATGAGTGTGGTGGCTCTTGGTAAAGATCTTGAGTGTTTCCGCCAGCCTGTCGTGAACAGGGGACCAGGCCCTTGGTTGTATGGTGTGTGCCACACAAACTCCCTTTTGTGTTGATTTGCAGTTTTGCCTTTTATGTTGTGCAGTTGCTTCTACATGGTTGCTCACTACCTGCGTGGCGACTTTAAATTGTGATGACCGTTGCTCCCATTTTGGAGAGCACTCGCCTTCCCGCCCATGGTGCATGAAAAAACTAGTAGCATTTTGTTACTAGTGCGATGGTTTTGCATGTAATAGTGGCCTTCACCTAGTAGTAGCTTCTTGCTACTTGTTTTCGACGATTTGAGTGATGAGTGATGATGTCTGTGAGCTGCATCTCGCTCCCAAGACTTTGATGGTTGGAGGTCATTCGACTGCCTGTTGGCGTGGATTCTGGATTGGACCAGATTTGTTTGGGATTATCTTTCTACTTGTCGGTGGCCACGTGGTTCTCTTCGTGGCATATTTGAGTGACTCCTGGCGGCCAAGTTCTCCCACTTCGTATCTCCGGGTCCCCGATAGCATTGTTTTTTGGATGCTGTGGGGTATTGTGGTGACTCTTGAGCATCTAAGGCTTGGATCTTTCTGGTCCTTGGCACCCTGTCGCTCCTGAAACTCTTTATGGAGCACCGAGTCCGAAATTGAAGTTGTTACACCGAATTGATGTGAAATTATGTGACCGGAGTCGTCGAAGTAGGGTTCGGTTCAGTGGCGTGAGATCAGCACGATACCTGTGGTGTGAAAAGTCAAAGCTGAGGCAGCAAAAGTCAGGCGATCCGTTGTGAGGCGGGAGGTTTTCTTGCAGTCCCGTGTCTTGACCATCCTGTCAAAATCTTGTGATGAAACCTCAGAAGCAAACCTCATAAGTGAGACTACTGGCAAAGAAGGTCGCATCATGTCGCATCCAATGTTGATTGTCCAGCAGGAATTCGTGCAACTGTCTGGGCATGAGTGGAGTTTAGCCTGTGAACTCCAACTCCGTGACTGCCCCCCTTTAAAAGGCTGGGTCTTGATACTTTGTGTTGGAATTGGAAAGAATGAACCTTGAACTCCATCACCTGACCTTCCCTTCAGAATACGACGAGGGACATTGATCATACTCAGCGCATGGATGACGAGAAAACGACGCAAAACAAAATGGATAATGGATGAGCATTTTCCAATGTTCCAACACCTGAACATCTCATGCAGCTGCGGCCGCTGCAGCCTCTGAATACATATGTTTCCTTGGAATAATTATGTTGGATCTTGATTAGCAAAAGGGCCCCCCCCTCAGCTAAACAAATGGGAGGTCCTCTGTCATAAACTAACACCAAAACAAATCTGCGTCCCTGGGAGGATTCCTTTTGTATTTGATTGTAATATTCATGTTCCTTTCTTTTCAAACTATAGATTATTGTGAATCATGTGTTTTTTCAGGCTCTATGTAGATATTCTCAGCAATCCTTCTGAACTACTGAGAAGAGTTCCTGACAAGGGAGGGGACGAAGGCTAGCCTCCGTAAGAACACGTCAATGTGGTTATGGAATGAAGTCGGCAACCAAGCACCCTCAGTGCCTTTGGGGTGCCCTTTTTTTCAGCTTGGACACGCCCCTAAACCACAAGAAAAAGGGCCCCTGAAGGAACGATCTCACAGGGAGTTGACCAGGCTAACCGGGTGTGTCCATGGCTAGAATCTCTTTCTCCTAGAGAAAGCATTCAGATAACTCAGGAGAATATTTGTAGGCGTAATCCGTACCTCTGCGTCTTGAAATGTGATCTCCTGGAAAGACATATATAGAATGCAGCCAGGAACCTTTAAGTTGCTGGCGCCTCATAGTCTATCCTTTTCGTACCAAAGCCCAACTGTTGTTGGACATTATAGCTCTGAGGGTGCCCTTTTTCATCCAGTTAACAGCACTCTTCACCATAAAAAGGGGCACCCCCAAACTACTCTAAGGTGGCTGACTGCGCTCTACTCCCTCTCCTGTCCTCTATGGGTGACATCGTTTTTCGCGTTCCCATCCACTCTGTCTCGCCAAAACGCAGAGAGCTGAGAGACTTTCCTGGTGACCGACCTCTTTTCGTGTCACGTTGTTCCCCCTTTCCTGTCCTCGACATGAACTCCCACCCCTTCTCCAAAGCCCAACTCATTTGGATAGGTCTGAGGGGTGCCCTTTTGCACCCCCAAACAACTCCAAGGTGGCTGACTGTGCTCTATTCCCTCTCGTGTCCTCTACGGGTGACATTGTTTCTCGCGTTCCCTTCCTCCTGAACCCCATGGCCCATGATGCTAATGATGCATTATTTGGGCGTCAAATACATCACTCGCCACAACACCCCAAAACAACATAGAATTTCACTACTTTTCGTGACGTCTCTTTTGTTCGCTCTCCCCCACCAGGCTCTGGATTCGCCCGGCTATGTCAACAACTCCAGCCTAGCCTTTCGTAACAAAGAAGGTTCTCTGCGGCTTTGAAGAAGAACTGGAGAAACCCATCCTTATCAATACTGTCAGCAAGCCAGCCATTGGCTTAGTAGTATCAAGAATGATTATGATTCTATATCATATCAATACCTTGTTTGCTGAGGAAAACACTTTGCACAATTGAGGACCCTTAAAACAGAATTATTCTTGGGGATCAGGGGGCCTTCCTGGTCTACTAACTTGAACATTTATTTCCGAGCAATCTTTACATTGACTAAGGAATTGATGGCTTCGGGAAGCTGGTAGTTTTGAAGAAGCCTAGAGAAACCTATAATTATCAACAATCTCAGCAAGCCAGTCATTGGCTTAGTAGTATTCACAGGCTCCGAAGGACTTAAAACCCTTATTAGTTATTTTTCAGATAACAAAAAAAGTAGGATCCTCCAAAAAATAGCATAATAGAGAACCCTTAAAGCAAATCAGCATCCAACATTATGCCAGTTCAGAGAGAGCCATGCGGATCGAATGAATCACATTTGCTTCAGGCAAGGTGAGGTATGTCATTCTCACAGCCATGTTGTTGTGGAAGAGAAATATGATTTGTCCAGGAAGTCTTCAGAACTATAATCCTTGACCTTCCTCAGACTGTTCAGGTTGTTCTACAATTAGCTTACGGTTTCCTGCAACTTCCTGAAGCTTCTGAGTACCCATTATGTATATATATATAGTTATATATACATACAGTTTGTTCCATGGTTGCCTCTTAACCCCTCTTGTGCATCTACAGTACATAATCTGAGTTGAAGAGTTGAAGACATCACTTTTTCTTTGCGTTCTTTGTTTGCCTTGGAGACCACCAGAAATGAGCGGGCCATGGGCGTGAGTGAAATCAGCCACACGTCATAAATAGCAGGTCCTAGCAGGTAGCCCCAATCTGGTTCACATCACAATAGCAAACTGCGAGTCAATAATAAGCCCAAAAATATCCGGCTACCGAAACCATGCAATAATAAACTACTGTCAACAAAAACACGTTGTTTCAGTAGGTTGAAAGTAGAGAGCGAGTCAACTATAACTTGTTCCAAAATAAACAAAATTCTGTCAGAAAAAAAACTGTATATATAATAACATCTGTCCAGCAAATATTTATATAAACAATACTGTATCTATTTAGTCAGTCAATAGATTCTTCATGAACTATGTTTGTTAATCAAAAACAGCAATCAAATTCAACTCGTCTAGCCAACCTAAAACTATCAAATACGTTTTTAGATGTTTTTAGTGATTGATTCGTTATTGAAGGACTTTCTATTGTCAAAGGCTGTCCGAATCTTAAGGTCTGAGGTTTATCATTGCGAGCAGTTTTTTTATTACGACATTTTTGGCCTTCCATGTTTCACTAGGGAGAGGTTCATTATTGTGATGTGAACATTATATCATATCCCCTATCCAGAATGGGTGGGGGGATCCAGCAGCCCATTTTATAGACATAAAACGGTTGAACCAACCAGCAGGGAGGCCCTATAAAGTGAACCACCTGACCAAAACACTCAAAACCTAGTTTGGCCCTACTGCACCTATGTTCTCTTCATGGAAACTCACAAAAATGATTAATTACCATACATCCACATAAATCCTTCTCGACAGGCCAAGTCTGCTGCTTGTTGCTGATCTAAGTTGGAAACCCCGGCATGCTTCCAGACCCTTTGCAAAACAAGGTCTTACAACTCACATCATTTTTTCAGAAAACGAAGCACAAGTGGTATGCATGGATAGTCAGAGTTATCCAAAGTGTTCAAACGATACCAACAACCAGGTCCAGAAGCAGGGATCGTGGCAACCAACACTGTCCCCTTCATGATATGTTCATCAAGAGAAAATC